CCGGGAAGCAATGATCTAACTCAACAACTTTATATAACTCACCGGGAAGCAATGATCTAACTCAATCACTTGATATAACTCACCGGGAAGCAATGATCTAACTCAATCACTTGATATAACTCACCATTTGATCCATAAAAATCTTCTTAACCCTTTATCACATCCATTTACGGGTTAAAGGGTTAAATAAGATAAAGGGTTAAATAAGATACATTTATATATAAAGGTGAAAATCTTACTCGGATTCACTTGTACAGCGTTGGGGACTCCTAACCGTACACATTTTTGACTCTCCACAGACCCGATAGGTGGCAGATCCGCACACACGGGTAGAATATTTTGTTGGCCAATCAAAGGATGACGCTTGGCAATGGAATACTCCAGGCTGCACATTTTATATTCCAACACCTCGCACTCGTCGCGACACACCTGTCTGGGTTTTGGGACGGGAGAACTTCCGTCGCAGAGGGGGAAAGCGAAGTGGCAAAAGGAGGGGAAGGCAAAATGTTGACACTGAACAGAGACGTCATGAGAAGTGGCGATGACAGTGAACGCCGCAGCTAGCTTTTCTTCTAAAAACCCTTGGCTTCGGAGAGATTTGAAGTAAACGGTTTTATTGGCGATGTACTCTGAACAGGTTGCTCCTCTGTACACCTGGCACACGCCCCCTTCCGACAGATTGGGGTAACTGGAAATAATCATATACTGTTAATAATGACGCTCAATAAAAGGGGGATTGTTAAAGCTAGTCTCTAACTGTCAACCGATACTTGTACAGTAGATTACTCTAGTTACCTTAGTTACCCTATCCTTTACTCTAACTGTCAACCGATACTTGTACAGTAGATTACTCTACTTACCTTAGTTACCCTATCCTTTACTCTAACTGTCAACCGATACTTGTACAGTAGATTACTCTAGTTACCTTAGTTACCCTATCCTTTACTCTAACTGTCAACCGATACTTGTACAGTAGATTACTCTAGTTACCTTAGTTACCCTATCCTTTACTCTAACTGTCAACCGATACTTGTACAGTAGATTACTCTAGTTACCCTATCCTTTACTCTAACTGTCAACCGATACTTGTACAGTAGATTACTCTAGTTACCTTAGTTACTCTATCCTTTACTCTAACTGTCAACCGATACTTGTACAGTAGATTACTCTAGTTACCTTAGTTACTCTATCCTATACTCTAACTGTCAACCGATACTGTAAAGTAGATTACTCTAGTCATCTCAGTTACTCTATCCTTTACTCTGTCAACCGATACTTGTACAGTAGATTACTCTAGTTACCTTAGTTACTCTATCCTTTACTTCAACTGTCAACTGATACTTGTACAGTAGATTACTCTAGTCATCTCAGTTACTCTATCCTTTACTCTAACTGTCAACCGATACTTGTACAGTAGATTTCTCTAGTTACCTTAGTTACTCTATCCTTTACTCTAACTGTCAACCGATACTTGTACAGTAGATTACTCCAGTTACCTTAGTTACTATATCCTTTACTGTAACTGTCAACCGATACTTGTACAGTAGATTACTCCAGTTACCTTAGTTACTATATCCTTTACTCTAACTGTCAACTGATACTTGTACAGTAGATTACTCTAGTTACCCTATCCTTTACTCTGTCAACCGATACTTGTACAGTAGATTACTCTAGTTACCTTAGTTACTTTATCCTTTACTCTAACTGTGAACCGATACTTGTACAGTAGATTACTCTAGTTACCTTAGTTACTCTATCCTTTACTCTAACTGTCAACCGATACTTGTACAGTAGATTACTCTAGTCATCTCAGTTACTCTATCCTTTACTCTAACTGTGAACCGATACTTGTACAGTAGATTACTCTAGTTACCTTAGTTACTCTATCCTTTACTCTAACTGTGAACCGATAGTTGTACAGTAGATTACTCTGGTTACCTTAGTTACCCTATCCTTTACTCTAACTGTCAACTGATACTTGTACAGTAGGTTACTCTAGTTACCTTAGTTACTCTATCCTTTACTCTAACTGTCAACCGATACTTGTACAGTATATTACCCTGGTTACATAATGCGCTAAAACAACAAGACGTCACATGATGAGACTGTGTTAGGAATATTGCCTGTCTGTGTTTTTCACAGAACTGTACACTAATCAATTTAAACTTACAAGTAAAACAACAATACGTCACGTGGTGAGACTGTGTTAGGAATGTTGCCTGTCTGTGTTTTTCACAGAACTGTACACTAATCAATTTAAACTTATAAGTAAAACAACAATACGTCACGTGGTGAGACTGTGTTAGGAATATTGCCTGTCTGTGTTTTTGACAGAACTGTACACTAATCAATTTAAACTTACAAGTAAAACAACAATACGTCACGTGGTGAGACTGTGTTAGGAATATTGTCTGTCTGTGTTTTTCACAGAACTGTATACTAATCAATTTAAACTTATAAGTAAAAACACAAATTTGATTAAATATCTTGATTTCGGAAACTCCATACTTCACAAGTTGATTAAACATTAAACTATTATCAACTCCGAGAGCAACTTAGTTATACCGTTACACGCACCTTTCTTTTAAATAAATTAATCGAGTTGCGAATATTTCATTAAAGAAACGTTGCAAACACGTTGTGTCGAAAGGTGGCACTGCTAAACTGTCACAGCTGGTGCAAATTAAAATTGCGTGGGATAAAAACAAAAACCAATATATATTTCTATTCACAAACGTTACAAAAAATACCGGCTAGAGAAACGAAATGGGAAAATTTTAATAAAATCTAATATTAATCTTTTTGTTTCATATAGCAGATTGTTTAACCTCCAATTACCTAGATGTTTTTAACCCTTCAGTGCCCGGCGAGATCCGTTTATCAGCAATTACGTTTTAACCTATTACAACAGTCGTTGTAAACACAGTAATCAGGTTAAGTCACTGATGTTTCTATGTGAGATCCAACAAAGAGACTAACTGTAATATTCACGGTTGTTGTTGTTGTTGTTGAGATCCAACACTGAGACTAACTGTAATCTTCACGGTTGTTGTTGAGATCCAACACTGAGACTAACTGTAATATTCACGGTTGTTGATGTTGTTGTTCAGATCCAGCACTGAGACTAACTGTAATATTCACGGTTGTTGTGTTGTTGTTGTTGTTGTTGAGATCCAGCACTGAGACTAACTGTAATATTCACGGTTGTTGTGTTGTTGTTGTTCAGATCCAGCACTGAGACAAACTGTAATATTCACGGTTGTTGTGTTGTTGTTGTTGTTGAGATCCAACACTGAGACTAACTGTAATATTCACGGTTGTTGTTGTTGTTGAGATCCAACACTGAGACTAACTGTAATATTCACGATTGTTATGTTGTTGTTGAGATCCAACACTGAGACTAACTGTAATATTCACGGTTGTTGTGTTGTTGTTGAGATCCAGCACTGAGACTAACTGTAATATTCACGGTTGTTGTGTTGTTGTTGTTGTTGAGATCCAACACTGAGACTAACTGTAATATTCACGGTTGTTGTGTTGTTGTTGTTTTTGAGATCCAACACTGAGATTAACTGTAATATTCACGGTTGTTGTTATTGTTGAGATCCAACACTGAGACTAACTGTAATATTCACGGTTGTTGTGTTGTTGTTGTTGTTGAGATCCAGCACTGAGACTAACTGTAATATTCACATTTGTTGTGTTGTTGTTTTTCGGGCACTGCAATCAACAAATTCACATGGTCACGAGAAATAGTTAAGTAAAATATATCAGAGAGAGGCGGTGTCCATTTATAACCCTATCAATACTTTAAAGATTATCTTACAAATTATTTAAAACAGCTTTATAGTTTAGCTTGATATAACTAGTAACTAATGGTAGGAAGGGTTTAGCATGATATAACTAGTAACTAATGGTTAGAAGGGTTTAGGTTGATATAACTAGTAACTGATGGTTAGAAGGGTTTAGCTTGATATAACTAGTAACTGATGGTTAGAAGGGTTTAGGTTGATATAACTAGTAACTGATGGTTAGAAGGGTTTGGTTTGATATAACTAGTAACTGATGGTTAGAAGGGTTTAGTTTGATATAACTAGTAACTAATGGTTAGAAGGGTTTAACTTAATATAACTAGTAACTAATGGTTAGAAGGATTTAGGTTGATATAACTAGTAACTAATGGTTAGAAGGGTTTAACTTAATATAACTAGTAACTGATGGTTAGA